GAGGCCATGCTCTGCCAGACGGCAGCACTGAGGCCGCCCCGCACGACTTTATGCGGCCCCGCCCCCGACCGGGCAAAGGAGGCCACGCCCAAACCACGCCCGCCGCCGCGATGCCCCCGCCTCATTAGCCATGTCCCCGCCAACATCAGGTGGTGCCCACGCGAGGCCCCGCCCCATGAAGAACTCCCAGACCACCAGAGAACCGGTCCCTGGGAGGCCCCATCTGTAACCACGCCCCGGTCCCGGAGGCCCCGCCCACTTCCCCCACCGGCTCAGGGTCTTCCAGCCTGATCACGCGGTCCTGCACCAGGCGGGGCGTGGCCTGCTCCAACCCACCCCAGCTCTCCTGGAAAACTGTGTTGGAGTCATACTGGGGGTGATCTCACTGGGCAAATGGGGTTCATCCTCATACCCGTCAGCGATCCCCGCAACAGGGGTGAGGAGACTCTTTCAGTCAGGGTCATTGAGGCGCTGGATGCAGACGGCTTTCCAAAAACACTCTCCTTTGCAGCCCTCGTCCTGCTCGAGGAGCCAGCTCATCTCCCTCAGCCTGGTTGCTTCTCATTCCGGCTTGGCGAGGGCCCGGGCTCCTGCCGCCCTCTCACTGTGCTGCTCTGCCCCCTGCTTGCCTTGCCGCCCCGCCCACCTGTCTTTCCTCTCTGTGTTCAGCACATGCACGTGTGGACACCTGCTCTGTGTCTCCCTAGAGGGGAAGTGACCAGGGCCGGCAGGGCTCTGCCTACAGCTGTCCTGCACCCGCAGGGACGACTTTCACTCAGCTTGCAGGGCCCCTGCCTGCCCGCCCAGCCCCAGTTTGGAGCTTGGCCCCTCCCTCCTCCCAGTCCTGCCAGTCCTGTCTTGGCTGTGCTTGGTCCTGGAGGACCAGTACCCGAGTGGGGTGGAGACTGGGCTGGGCTGGGCCCAGGCAGGGCCTCTGTGGCCCTCCCCACCTGGGGACTTCCTGCCTTTCCACCTGACACAGCAAGGGTCTGGGGCTGCATATAGTCAGCTCTAGGGAAAGCAGCAAGTGCCTGGCTGGGTCTGCTTCCTCCAGGGGCCCTGGACAGAAGTCCCCCAGACCACTCCAGATCAGTGCCACTGGCTGGTGAGAGGCAAAGCCAGCTGCCAGTACCTCAGGAGCCCAGCAGTGCCAGGAAAGCAAAAGGATTCCCAGCCCCTCCACCCCCAGGCCAGGAAGGGCCAGTTTCTCCTGGCTGCAGGGTGGGTGGGCGGTGCTTAGCAAAGGGCCAGGCAGGTAGGTGCTTGGGGAGATGAGGAACAAGCACAGCCTGGGGTGGGGTGGAGAGCAGGAGCCACTCACAGTTGGGTTTGTCTGGTCCCTTGGAGGGTGGGTCAGGCCCTGAGGGCAGAACCCAGACTTTTTTTGATCAGGTGGACACTCATATTCACAAACTGGACCTGCCTGGCCCCAGCTGAGCTCAGGAAGGAAGTGGGTGAAATGGCCCAACACTTGCTTAGCCCTTCCTTGGGATCATCAGGAGAAGCTAGGGGCCCTGGGCTCCAATCCTGTCCCTTCCCCTCCTCCCTGCATCTCTCCAGTCTGGGGAGTCTCAACTCCAGCCTTGCACCCTGTGCTGGTGGGTTTGGGGGCTCCCAAGGGTCTCTCCAGGGATGCCTGTTACGACTCCACCTTCCCTAGGTCCTTGCCCCACATCTTGCTTCATTATGGACTATGTGTGGGGGTGCTTCCCCAGGCTCTGTCCTGCCTTGAGTCCTGTGCTTGCCATCCACACTGCACGCTGTACATATTGGCTCACAGAGCATTTATTAAAGGTCCATGGGGCAGCTTGCTTGAGGCCCCTCAAGTTCACTGGGTCCTGGGACTGGGGCTTTTCTGAGTAGGAACCAGCCATAAACTGGACTGGGTTCAGGGAAGGGATGCTCTTGGGCTCTGGGCTGGCTGGAAGTGGCCATGTTTGTGGGACTGGGAGCCTGGGTCTTGTCAAGTTGGCCTGGCCTGGCTGGGGAGGACATCTGCTGTGGGAGGAGGGTCTCAGGCTGGGAGAGGCTTCTGTGGCCCTAGAGGGCTGTCACCACGTGGGCTACAAAGATGACTTTGTAGCTCTCCTTCACGTCCCCCCTGAGCTGCAGTAGGGTGGACACCATGAGCGGCTGGTCTGGCTGGGATGGGAGAGGAATCTCAGCCAGGGGTAACTCAGGGAATACTGTCTTTCCCAGTTACCCCCACAGCCGCCTCTCCTATCACTGGCCCAGCACCCACATCAAAGTCAGCAGGTGGTGCCCAGGAGACACTGATGGTCTTGGTCTGGCCTCGGTCCACGGAGCCCCTGGATGGCTCGATGGAGAAACCTTTGTGTTGCAGCCATGCGATGCCGTCCAGGCCAAACTCCACAGTCTGCAGACATCGACACTGATGGGGCTGGGGACCGGCATCCCAGCAGGCACAGGGACTGGGGTTCAGAGCACCCAGCACCCCTCCAGCTCTGCCTGGGGTTGCCCACCTACCCCCGGCTGTAGGACACCCCAGGCAAACCCCAGGCATACTAGTGAGGGGCATAGCTAGGGCCGCCTGGGTGATGTGGGGGCAGAGGCTGCCCGGGTGGCACCAGGAGCAGAGACACCATCACCTTCTTTAGAGACGGTTGTGTGGTCCGGATGCAGCCCACCCGCAGCTCCCTGGCAGCAGGTGGGGCTGGCTGGTCTGTGTTGAGCTGGATGTAGTTCAGGGTCAGCAGGACAGGCTTTAGCTCCTCAGCCTCTGTGGAGGAGGGTGATGGGCACCGGCTGGGCAGAGGCCATGCCAGGACAGGTGGGGAGTTGGGCCTGGAATCCCTCTGAACCCGGGGCACAGTGGGTCCTGTCTGGCTTTGGGGGTGCTGGCCCTGGAATCCCTGCCCTCCTGTGTGGGTGCAGCACACCCACTTGCCAGGGGGCTGCTGGGGGCCCCTCGACTGCTCCCCAGCCCTCCTGATGCCAGCTCACCTTCTCTGTGCTCAGTGTCAGAGGCTGGGATCATGGTCAGGGACTCCACGGGCACATCCAGGGGGTCCCCGCCCTCCACGAACATCATGTGTTCGCGGGCGGCGCCCTTCAGCTGGATCTGGTGAGAGACTTTCTGGGGACAAGAAGCAGGCAGCCTGTCCCCAGCTATGCTTCAGGCGCTGACCCCCAAAGTGGTATCCTTGGCCTTGAAATTGGGCATCCCAGGGAGAGGTTGGAAGGGGGCACGCGGTGGCTGGGCCCCACCTTTTCAAAGAGCACCACCTGGAGCCGGTCGGAGAAGTACAGACTCTCGTGGTCGGGGCTGAAGGTCACGGTGAAGTCCTGCGCTCTCCCAGGGTCCATGATGCCGGTGACCGGGGTCACGCTGAACACGCTCTGGCCGCTGTGGTTCTGTGTGCCTGGGGGTGGCAGGGGTGGCAGGGGCTCCCCATGAGGCCTGGTGGCACTGCACACTGTGCCTGCCCTGTGGTTCAGCGAGTGCCCCCTGGACAGCAGCTTACCCACGATGTCTGTCCTCTGGGGCTGAGTGGTGAGGAACTGTGGCAGCTCCTTCTGGGTGGGGGCCCTGGAGCCTGAGAGGCTGTCCAGCTGCACGGAGAACTTGATGGGCAGCAAGGAGTCGTTCTGCAGCTGCCGGTGCAGGGCGTCAGGAGACCCACAACGCTGCTGCCCTCTGCCTCGTGCCATGTGGTCAGCCCGCCGGGACCAAGTGGCCTCATGCCCCCAACAAGCACTCAGGATGGAAGTCCACTCCACCTGGCCTGGCCCTAACCCATCACAGTGGCCCCTCTAGGCTGGTCTCACCTGTCCTTGCCCAGCCCCGGAGCCCCTTCTCTAACAGTCCCTGTCCCAGGATGCCCGGGGGCCAGGAGTCCTTCAAGGCTGTGAGAGTGGGGCCAGGGCACCCTTGAGGCCTCTCCTGACTCGGGGCCTCCCCAGCGGCCTGTGTTGGGCTCCCATGGGGTGTTTGAGTGGCAAAACCCAGGGGGCTGGCAGGGTCTTGCACAGCCCTGCAGCACAGGGAGACCCAGTGAGAACAGCTGGGCACCACCAGAGGTGGGATCCCTCTTCTCTCCAGAGTGTAGCAGAGGCGCCACACACTGGGGCCTCCCCTGCCCCAGTCCCTGGGCCCCCTGGAAACCTTGAAGCCCATGGAGATGGACTCTCTGGCGAGCACGTAGCCCATGTCCAGGACATCGCCATCAAGGGAGCACGTGATCAGGGATGCCACGCCGGTGCCCAGCAGGGTGAGGGGGAGCGCACCTCTCTTGGTGACGACCTCCAGCCTTTCCTGAGCCTGGAGCACAGCTTGTGTCAGCTGGGGGCTTGGTCTGTGGGTAGTCAGGTCTCCCTCTGCCCTGTGGCAAGAGGGGCTGGGGGACCAGGCTTGCTCAGGGCCCGCCTGGGGACACAGGTGTCGGGGGGCTGGTACTCACCAGGACACTCTCGTGGGGTGAGAAGGACAGTGCCAGGACCCGGGTCTCACCAGCGCGCAGCCTGCTGGGGGTGTTCACCAGGAAGAAGGGGCCTTGGGGGTTCAGTACAGAGAAGTCCACCTGCAGCTGTGTCAAGGAGCAGGAGTGGGGCTCCCCATGGCCCAGCTCCACCCCGTGCCTCTGTGGGTGCACAAGGATACGGCCAAGTCCTCCAGGCAGATGTTCTGGAGGGAGACCTTCTTGATGCTGTGATGCCCTGCAACGGTACAATGGCAGGAAGTCGGCTAAGCTTGGCTGCCTGAGTGGCTCTCCCAGCTAGGTGCGGCCTCACTGGGATCCAGGATGGACTCACCCACAGCAATGTGGCCGAAGTCGATGACAGTTTTGCCTCTGTCTGAGGTCACCACGACAGCTGGAGCCACTGCAGGACACCACAGCTCCAGGTACAGCATGTTGTGCGGGCTGTGGGCAAGGCCAGGGGCTGAGGGCAGAGTGGTGGCCCCATGCCCGCCCAGCCCGGGCCTGGTCTGCTGACAAGGATGGTGAGCTCATAGCTGACTGCATTGGGCCTGGCCCAACCCTCCACACCTGAAGCTCAGGGGTTCCAGTTCCCTCTTGTCTTTGACGTCACCGCTGGCAACAGCGCAGGGGACCATGAATTTGTCAAACCGACCCTGGAAGGTTCTGGCCAGAGTGGCCTGGGCGGCCTGGTACTCATCAGCTCTGGAATGAAACCGGCAAGGGCATTAGCAGCCCCCCTCCGGCTCCTCAGTGCCTGCTCTCTAGGGGCCTGGCTCCGGGTGTATGGAGATGGCAGCCTGGGGCCAGCACAGCTTCGCCACTTTGGGTCCTGGTCAGCCACGGGGGAGCTGTTCTTGGGACACAGGATGGAGTCTAGGGCTAACAAGTGTCTAAGCCCCCAGAGCACTCCTGGACTGCTTTCGCTTTGGGAAGGCTGTCAGGACAGTAGCCTCTCGTACAGCCTGTGGCAGGAGTGACACCAGGCCCCAGGAAGTGCTGGGCACATGCCTGGGAGAGGAGCCCCCGGACCCAGCTTGATCACCTGGCGCTTCCAGCCCCATGGGTCCGCACAGCTGTGCTCTGGCAGTCTGCAGGGAGAGGCCCCCAGGATGGCAGTGGGGTTTTGTGGTGGCTGGGTCACACAGGGAGCCCTCTCCATCGTACCTGGCCTCCAGCTCCTGCTTCTGTAGGGTGGGGGCCTGGCCCAGCTGGTCCTGCACTCTCACATCCTTCCTCTGGGTGGCTACATCCTTCTGGAGCTGGGAGGCAGGAAAGATGCTGGGGGGCTTTCCCAGGCTCTGTCTGTGCTCTGGGGCAGAGCTGCCTGGAGCTCCAGGCCTGCTCCAGGCCTGCTGAGCCATGGGGACCCACTGACTCCTACAAAGGCCCGGGGCTAAGCTGGGGGGACCCAAGGCCAGGGCAGAGACTGGGGCTGCCCAAGGGCTCCACGTCACTAGTGGGGAAACAGAGGCACGGGACGGGTGGGAGTGTGTGTGAAGGCTCTTGACCGAAGCCTTCCGAGCCTCACTGCCCCGCCCATGGCTCATGTATGAGGTGTGGCTGTCACCAGGGTCTGCTGCTGCCCTCCTGGATTGTTCCTACGCTTTCCCTGGGTCACCAGGCTGTACTTCAGGTTGCTTCTGGTCCAGTCTCTGTCAAGGCCCAGCTGTGCCCTAGGTCCTGGCCTCCGAGAACCCCGTGCTCTCCAGGACCCAGTCCTCAGCAGGTCCTCACCTGTAGGGCAGGGCTCCCTCTTGCTGCCAGGCAGTGCTCTTGGGGGTAGGATGGGACTTACAAGAAGATCCCTTACCCTCTACGGCCAAGCAAACCCACCCCGCACTGTGGTACACTCTCCTCTGACCGCCTGACCCTCCCAGGGGTTCCACATACCGGCTTGGCCTCGCTTTCCTTGCTCAGGGTCTGGAGAGCTTCCTGGCTGACAAGCTTGTGGGGCAGTGTGGGCTGAAAGGCCACCCGGACCAGGCACCTCTGCAGGGGGATATTGGCACTGAGCCCAGGTGTTGGGCCTGCTTGGCACTGCCACGTCCAGATCGTGGTCCTCCCTGACCACTGCACTAGAAGCGGGCACTGTAAGGAATCTGTCTCCCTGAGGTGTGGGGCCCCGACTGTGCGCCGGGACCTCGCCCACTGCCCAGAGGGTGAGCCTAACCCTGGCTTGGCCTGGCACAGCCCGCTCACCTTTCCAGGCAGCACGGTTCCCACCAGGGGGGAGATGGTGATGGGCGCATCCTTGGGTGGCAGGAACTCGAAAGACGTTGGTCCTCCTGGGCAGGGGCCCCCTGAGGGAACCACACGGGGCAGTGGGCTCATGGTCAGGTGGGAGTTGGTGACGTACAGCAAGGCCACCGAAGTGTCGTACAGTGCGGTAGCCGCAAACTTGATCTGGTAGTGGGACAGCTCCAGGGGTGGGTGCACACCCACAGCATGGCAGGACAGCTTGAAGCACCTGAAAGGGACCAGTGGGGCACTTGGCCATGCGGGGGCACAGGCCCTGGGCGCCTCGTGGGGAGGTACAGCTCTGGTGTGGGTGCAGGCCGTCAGCGTCACTCTGAGAATACTGTGCAGCCCTGTGCAGTACTGGTGGGCCAGAGGCTTAGTTGCAAAGGAGGGAATTTCTGGCTTACTATGCTAAATATTTATTGACATTTAAAAAATTATAGCTGATAAGTCGCTTTTAAATATAAGCAGGAAGTTTTATACCATCACAAGTTGAGTCCTGGCATCATCTGTTATACAAAGAGAACAGATATTTGGCATTTTAACTGTTGGAAATGTATTTATTATGGATTTTTAAAAATTGTCTTAGCTGGGCGTGGTGGTACATGCCTGTAATCCCAGCACTCCAGAGGTTGAGGCAGAAGGATCGACATAAATTCAAGACCAGCCTGGGCTACATAGTGAGTTCCAGCTTAGTCTCAACTACATAGCGAGACCCTGTCTCCAAAGAACCACAGACAATTTTTTTTTAAAATTTTTTTTGGTTTTTTGGAGACAGGGTCTCGCTATGTAGTTCAGTCTGGCCTTGAACTCACGGTGATTCTCCCGCCTCAGCCTCCTAAGCACTAGGATTACAGATGTGCACCACCATGCCCAGCTATTTTGGAGACAGGTTTTGTGTAGCCCAGGGTGTCCTTGAATTGTCGGTGATCTTCCTGCCTCAGCCTGTCCAGGGCTGATGGCAGGGATGTGCCACTATGACTTGCTTTGGAAATTTTATATTCCACATTTGTCTTGAATTCCTGGCCTTTCCTCATTGACTTTATCCTAATTACACTTGTGTGTGTGTGTGTGGTGCTGGGGACTGAACCCAGGGCCTCATGCATGCAAGTCAAGCACTCTACCACTGAGCTACAACTTCAGTTCTGAGTACATGTATTGTTTTACACTTTCATTTTTTCCTATTTTGGGGCTAGACTCAGGGCCTTTGCACTGAGCTACATCCCCATTGTATTTTTTTTCTGGTACCAGGGACAGAACTTATTTTTGTATTTTGAGGGTGTCACTAAGTAGCTGAACTGCCTAGGATGGGCTTCAACTTGCAGCACTCCTGCCTCAGCCTCCCAGAGTGCTTGGGTAACAGGTATGTGCCACTGTGCCTGGCTTGTTTCATACTTTAAAGGGTGACAGTGGGTACCCTGTCCTACTTGTCTCTTGCACAGTGCGACGCAGGGTTGGGATGTTTGTATCCCTTATTTCTACCTGGTCAGAGGCCCTCTCCTTGGGGACACTGCTGGTGACCAGCCTCACTCCCTAAGAGCTAGAAACATGTGCAGCGTGACAGTCATTGGTGCCTCGTGTTAACCCAGCCTTATCCTCTTCTAAACACGATGGACCTACATTGCCAGGCTGGTTCAGGGGTCTCTGGTGGCCTGGGGCTCCTGTTTCTATGAATGCTGAGCATTACTCTCAATGATTCCCCTTCTCCATGTGATAAAATGCACACAGTGACTCACCTTCTAGTTGTTGTTGTGTTTTTATTTTTTTTGAGGGGGGCTCACTGTTTCCCAAGCTGGACTCCAACTTCTGACCTCAAGAGATCCTCCTGTCTCAGCCTCCCTAGTAGCAGGGATCATAGTTGTGCACCCCCCGACCTGCACCTTTTTTCTTCAGTGCTGGGGATGGAAGCAGCACCTCTTACATGCTGCATGCAGGGGTCCTTCCTTGTCTCTGAGGCCACCCAGGCTCACTGGAGAGATGTCAGGGGCTGCCACTGTGACAGCTGGAGGTCTGGGTTTGGCTGGGGCCTGGAGACCTCCCTGGTGGGCCTGTGACATCGCTCTTGGCATCTTCTGGGGCAGTGCGGTGATGGCTCAGCACCTGGCTTGTGCTGGTGGCAGCAGGTGGCTGCTCAGAGACCTTCCTGAGCCCGCTGCTCCTGGCCTGGCTGTGCCACCTGCCAGCTCAGTGCAGGTGTTTTCCTGCCTGTACAGCTCGGGGGTCTGTAAGGTCGGCACAGCTGTTCAGAATGTTTGGAAGAAGAATCGTCAATGAGATTCTTTGGATGGGGCAGGGACTTTTCATTGTTGGGGGCTTGTGAACCTCACATTCCTTTTTCTTCATAGTTGTTCAGCTCCCCAGAGCTTTACCCGCTGTTGCGTTAGTCTTGGTGACCGCGGATACGGGGAATTTTCCTCTTCCACCCACGCTATCAGGTTTCTCACAGCTCAGGCTCAGTCCCCTCCAACACTGACTGTATGTTTTCCTCTTTACCTTGACTGGCCTTGCTAGGTGTAACATGTTTTCCTGAATTTTTTCTTTACAAAAAAAATTTTTAATGAAACATTGATTTCTTTTTTGTTTTGTTTTTTTTTTTTGGTACCGGGGATTGAACTTGGGTCCTTGCGCTTGCAAAGCAGGCCACCGAACTGCTGAGCTAAATCCCTGGCCCTTGTTTTTTTTTTTTTTTTTTTTTTTTGGTACCGGGGATTGAACTTGGGTCCTTGCGCTTGCAAAGCAGGCCACCGAACTGCTGAGCTAAATCCCTGGCCCTTGTTTTTTTTTTTTTTTTTTTTTTTTGGTACCGGGGATTGAACTTGGGTCCTTGCGCTTGCAAAGCAGGCCACCGAACTGCTGAGCTAAATCCCTGGCCCTTGTTTTTTTTTTTTTTTTTTTTTTTTGAGACAGGGTCTCATTATATAGTTCAGGCTGGCCTCGAACTCATGGCAATCCTCCTGCCTCAGCCTCCCAAATGCTGGGATTGTAGGAGAGCACCGCCATGCCTGGGTGAAACACTGATTTCTATTTCATTGATTTCTGCTCTTACCTTTCTTATATCTCCGCTTCTACCTTCTTTGGGTTTAATTTATTGTGCTGTTTTCCTAGTTCTTAAAAAAAGATTGTTGATTTTCAAACCCTCTTCGGACACATGCAATTATAACTAGAAATTACCCTGTGCTTTTGTTGTTGTGGTGGTTGGTGGTTTGAGACAGGGTCTTGCTAAGCAGTTCAGGCTGACCTTGAACTAACTTTGTAGCTCAGGCTGACCTCAAACTTGCAGTGATCCTCCTGCCTCAGCCTCCTGAGTGCTGGGATTCCATGCACATGCTATTATGCCTGGCTTCTCACTGCTTTTGATGGGCCACAGGTACTCAAATTTAACACTTCCCAAGGGGGCCCTGCAGTATGCAGTGAGGATGAGGGAAGTGAGCAAAAGATAGACCCTGAGCAGAGGCAGATGACCACGCCCCACCCTGCTGCCTGGTTCTGGTTCTGCTGCTCCTCCCTCCACGTCCCACATCCTGCAGACCCACAGCTTGGTTCATCCTCGCGCATCTGCGGAGGCTGGGCTGTCTGGTGTGCGTCCTGCCGGCATGGAGTACTCAGCGCACATGGAGACACACAAAGACCTGCTCGGACTCTCCAGGGCCTCAGGCATGCATCACCGCTGCTCACCGGTTTATCTTGGACTTGCAGACCAGTTCGAAGCTATACTCTCTGGCCTTGGTGGGCTGGAAGAGCACCTGGAGCTGCAGCGTCTCCAGCGGCAGGATCGTGCCGAAGCCGTCATTGGGCTGGATGTCTACAAACTGGGCAGCAAGCAGTGAGAGTCCTGTAGTGCCCGAGGGCCACAATGCCCTGTCCCTGGTGGACCCTGGGGCGACCCCAGCGGGTACCTTGGGGAGCCCCACAAATCCGAACTCCTGGGGCAGCAGCGAGTGGTTGCAGAGGCTGATGCTGGCCCTGATGGCCTCGTAGATGGTGCAGTAGCCAAAGTCCAGCGCGGAGGGGCAGAGCTCCAGGTCCGAAGTGGTGACAATGGCGTGCACCGTGAAGCCCACCGGCTTGGTCTGAGCATGAGGCAGACCACACTCCCAGTCCTGACCACGAAGGCACAAGCCGCCACTGCTCCTGTGCGGCTCCAAGGCCTTGCTTCTTCCCTCTGGGCTGCAGCGGCTAAGTCGCCCGCCACCCATCCAGCCCTGGGCACTCTGGGCCTTGTGGAGCAGCCCGATGCCCTGGGAGGAGGCCACACTGACCTGGTCAGCCACCCAGATTGTCATTGGGGCCTCCAGCACGCGGGTGTCCTTGTCAAAGTACTCCCCGGCATCTTCTGGGAGGGACTGTCTGCAAAGTGGGGCACACTGAATGGACTTTCTCTCTTCCCACTTTGCAAAACACCAGCTGCTGGTGAGGGTTGCTTCCGAATCCCAAGTGCCAGGCAATGGGGTCCCCACAGCAACGTCTCTTGTCACCAGGGCTGACGAGGGCCCTTGTGGCCCCAAAGGCCTGAGATGTGCTGGCCCTGTCATTTCCGGGGAGTGACATGGGTGTGGGGGACTGTGATGAGGACACCTTCTGAATAGTGGTGCTGAAATCAGCAGATGTCAACCCAACAGCTGGGTCCCACTCACATGGAGCCTGCCTCTCAGAGGGAACCACAACATCCCTGTGAAAGTCACACGGGAACAGTTGGCTCTGATTCCAAAGTGAGTATCATTATAGGAATATCAGAAAATGAAAATAAGAAAGAAAACCCACTGCATGCTGCCAAGCCGTGAAGGCACGGCCAGGCCGGGACTGAAAGGCCCCATCTCGCCGTCACCCATGTGGTCCCAGCTGCAGCACTGGGCTCAGGGCAGGGGAATTAAAAGTGGGGTTGCAGCCTCTGATGCACTGGAAAGCTGGTGCAAGTGATCCCAAGCCCATCCAACTGAAGACAGAGGCCAGGGCCCACGGGAGGCCAGAGACCCCTGCCGTGCACACACATCCAGGCACTGCCTAGGGAAGAACCTGAAGGGCAAGGGGACAGGAGACACAGGGACCCAGCGAACAGCAGAGACCAGCTTCAAGGGTGTGTCAAGCTGACCCCCAACCTCGGGGCCACGGTGGCGCATAGTGGCACAGCACACAGCAGGAAGCTGGCTGGCTAGCGGGGGCCCACAGGTGCTGCACTCACAGCGAACTGCCCTGCACCGTGTGTCCCGGGCGCCCAGAGGGGACCAGCACCCGCCCACTCACCGGGGCAGGAACTTCAGCTGCACGGAGCAGGACGCCAGGGCCTGGATGTAACCCGTCTCGGGCAGCAGCTCCAGGTGGCCTCTCAGCTCCTTGCATACCTCGAACCGCAGGCGCAGGGCCACCTTGGACCTGCGGGCAGAGCCAGAGCACAGTCAGGGCCACAGGACCTCACCCTGCCGTGTGTGTGCCATCTTTCAGCATGAACTCTCATAGCTGGGCGTGTCCCAGCACTCAGGAGTCAGGCAGAAGGAACCATTTCAGAGCAGCCTGAAGCTCAGCCAGGTGAAGGTGGGCCAGGACCACACAGTGAGACTGAGACCGTTTCAAGGAGGAGCACTGATTTATTTCTATCGGGGGAGCCAGTGCAGAGCTCGGCACACACCCAGTCCAAGCCAGGCAGGGGCCCTGACAGCTGGAGAAGCTGAAAAGCTCTGCTTCCTACAGATTGGTTTTTCTGAAAGGAAATCTGAGGAGAAAGTCTTAAAAATAAAAACTTCACTGCAGTTGAAATACAGCCCTGCCAGTTGCCAGAGATCACTGCTTTCTGGGAAGAACTCCTGGCAGGGGGCTGCAGGGTGCAGGTCCTGGGGGTGGCACAGGCCCCTTGCTTGGGTTTGGCTTCCCTGCCTGGGAGGCTGGGTGGCCAGGCCTCTGCCGATGGCCCTGCACTCCCACACAGGGCCAGCAGAGGGAGCCAGAATGACTCTAGATGCTCACCTAGAGGTTTGTTGCTGCCCCATGGCCCTTGCTGCTTTCCCATAGGCCTGCCCACCTCTGGCAGCCACACTCTGCCGAGTCAGCCCTGGCCACAGTCCCTACTCACACCCATGGTGCCTTCCTTTGTTCCTTATGAAGCATTCTCAGGCACCCTGAGGGAAAGCTGCTTCCTGGTCCACCTAGAAGGCATAGCCAATGGTTCCAGAGCCTTCTAGAACCTCCTGGTGCCTCTTTGGGGTACTGTGAATGATCTTTGCCTGTCCCATGTCTTTGCAGGGTCTGTAGCCCAGGGTCTCCGGATGTGTCTTCCCATTGTGTCGCTGAGGGCCAAATCCCCAGCGATCAGGCAGAGTTGATGGCCATTTATTCTTTCTGTGGACACTGTATGTGGAAGCTTCTCTGTGTCACCTTGACTGGTAAGGGGTGGCAGAGCCCCCTGTAGGTGTTTGGGTGGTACAGGAGGTATGGTTTGAGCACTGTATGTGGTCCCTGGTACCCTTCTCTGTGGTGCTGTCCCCTGCTCTGCTTCCTGGCCACCCTGAACAAGCAGCTCTGCTCTGCCAGGCCCTTCTGCCACATTTCTCCTGCCTTGGCACAAGTTCCCATGGACAGAACCCCCTGAACCATGGGCCAAACCACCCCTCTCCACTTTTTCCTTTTTGGTACTGGGAATCAAACTTGGGACCTTGTACTTACCAGGCAGGCACAGCACCACTGAGCTAAATCCCCAGCCTACACCTCTCCACTTTTAAGTCTCAGTGTGGGTTGCTGGATTCCAGCAAGAGGAACGCTGACTAATCCAGACAAGAGGGAAGTGGCTGCACTTCAGGAGAGGCACAGCTGCTGACCTCAGGCCATCTGTGAGGGAGCCCAAGACAGGTGCCAAAGAAAGGCCCCTCTCCACTCTCAAGCATGGCTGTCAGAGTCTGGGCCCACCGAAGCTGCGGGGGTCTTGTGCTCCCCACTGTGGCGGGCATGCACACCACGATCACTAGACCCCAGGTCCCCTGGGAGGTGGCTGCTTGGGCTGTTCAGAGACTGTGCAATCCCCAGTGTACAGCCAGCCAGGGTCCCTGCTCCCCATGCTGGATGCTGGTCCTGGGCACACATACAGCAAGGGGTCTTCATGAAGTAGCACATTTCCTACAGCCATGCAGCTCAAACCCACCAAATTATGCAAAGCTATGAATGGCTGATAATGGATTTTTTTTAAAAAAAAATCACTATAGCTAGGCATGGTGGCACATGCTTTTAATCCCAGCTACTCAGCTACTCAGGAGGCTGAGACAGGAGGATCAACAAGTCTGAGCACAACTTACTGAGACTGTCTCAAAGTAAAAAATAAAAAAGTCTGGGATGTAGCTGAGTGTGAGGCCCTGGGTTCAATCCCCAGTGTCACACACACACACACACACACACACACACACACTCATGCTGAAAAGTGTGTGCCTTGGGTGGAGTGACAGCAAAACTCCCTGCGGCCCCTCTTTCTCTCCCACGTGACCCAAAAGCACTTTGTATCCTGAGATAAACCCTGTGTGACACTGGTCCCCCAAACAGCCCCACTGAGCATCTCTCCCATACCCCTACTGCTGATGGAACAACTCCCCGGGCAGTGGCAATGCCCGCTGAGGTGTTGGCTCCCCTGTGCATTCCCAGGTGTATGCTGGCTGCCCCTCCATGGGGTGTGACCTGGTGGCGACAACATGCTCCTGGGGCCTTCTGCCTGGTGCTAGCTGCCTGTGGGCCAGGGGGCACTGGAGGCTCAGTGAGCAGTGTCCTGCCCTGTGGCCCATGAGCTGGTGACACACAGGTGCGGGGGCCACAGAACACCTCTGCCCAGTGCTCAGAGTTGAACTCCGGAGAGATTTCTGCCTATGCCTGGGTGCCCAGGGTCCAGCGCATGGACAGCTATACAACCTGGGGCTCAAACAGCACGAGTCACCCTTGCAGGTGTTGGGCCTTGGTCCTGGGCCCTGCCTGCCCTTCCAGCATCTGGAGGCCGCGTGTCCCTTGGCACATGCCTGTGCTCCTCCCACACCTGCTAGTTCCCCACGACCACGTGGAAGGACAGCGCCCCAGGATGCGTGGCCTCCCGCTGCAAGGCCTCAGCCCACAGCTCTGCCTGGATGTCTGCTGGCCACTGGGGCTCACCGTGTGTGCACGAGCACGGAGTCCTGGTACAGCCGGTCATACATGCAGATCTTGAGGTCCACGATGGGCTTGGGCACCCACAGGGGCACGTCCACCGCCACGCCTGTGGCTCTGAAATACAGCTGGTGTGGACATATGAGCTCAGCACACGAAACAGGAAGCCCTACAGGCTGAATTTTGTAACTCATAGTGTTAGAGAGTTGGTTAGTAAAGGAAGTTGTGGTGTTTTCCATATCACTGTCATTTTGGCGGGTATTGGGGTGCTCTACCACTGAGCTTCTTTTGGGCTGGGGATTTAGCTTGGTGGTACCACCACCTGTCTTGAAAGCGCAAGGTCCTGAGTTTCATCCCTGGTACCCCCCCAAAAGTTCTTTATATCAAAGTTTTCAAACATTAAAAAATAAAGTAAAACACTGAAACACCATGTACCAATCAACACAGTACCCACAATAACAGGGCACTCTGTGGCACTAAGATCGGGACTACCACATAACAAAGGGGAAAAGCAGGAATGTGACTGAACCGCTTCATAAGGCCACCGGGCACAGGGAGAGTGCGAAAACAAGCCCTGGACACGCAGGCTGGAGGGACCAGATGGGCGCTGTTCTCGGTCTCTGCACACCAGCTTCTCCTAGGAAGGGCAGAGGCGGCAAGGCCAGGGTGACAGATGGAGACTGAGGGGATCTGGAAGGGACTCGAGTGGGGTCAGGGCTGCAGCCCTGAGAGGCGAGGCTAAGGCTAAGGTGGAAGGGGCGGGGAGGGGACCATCCTGCAATGAAGTTCACAGCTGTTAGACAGGGACCCTGCCACGCGTACTCACATCTTGGCCAACCGGGAAACAGCCTAGAAGTCATTTTTGATAATAATTTACTAAATTAAAAAAGAGACAAAGGCAGGCACGGTGGTGCACACCTGGAATCTTGCACTGAGGAAAGCTGAGGCACGCAGACTATAAATCTGAGCCCAGCCTGGGTAATTTAGACTTAGTCAGACACTGTCTAAAAGAAAAAAAACAACAACAACAACAACAAAAAAACGCCAGGGCTCTTAGCTGGGCACTGGGTAATTTAGTGAGACCTTGTTTGAAAATAAAGAGGGCTGAGGGTATGGTTCAGTGGCAGTGTGACCTGGATTCAAGCCTGTTACAGAAAAAAAAAGAGCCTGTGTGAGCATAGATGTGTACACATGCATGTGGATGCGGTCCTGCACATGTGTGCATCTGAGCTCCTGCACCCGTAGGGGTGTGCTGATGTGCGCGTGTGCCTGGGTGTGTGTGGGCTCCAGTGTGGCCACCTGTGCCCCCAGCCTGCAAACTTGGGGGCACAGGGCAGCTCACTAACCGTTGGGCACTGTGGGTTCTTGGACTCCACCTGGAACTGGGCGTGGACCTCTCCGGGGACAGCTGGTGTGAAGACCACGGGCACTCTGATGGAGCTGAAGGGCCCGATTTCCCCCTCAGTCACCTGCATGGACAGATGGCACCGGTTCAGCAGCACCAGTCACTCCATGCCACCCATGGCCTGGCTTGCCGCTGCAGGGCCGTGTTCCTGGGGTGGCTGCTTGGCTGTGCACTGGCAATGCTTGTGAGCCCCCACTGCTGAGGCTCCAGCCTGCTGCCCCTGCACCTGCCCTGGCCATGGAGGGCCCATGGGCTGGGTCCTCTCCAGGCAACCCTGCTGCAGGGCCTGCCTCACTCCGTGTGGGCGGGGCCTGCTCTGGCTGGGACCACAGGGTTCCCGGGGCTTCAGGTGGATGGGGCAAAGGAGTGCGGGGGGGCTTGCTGCTCTGGCTCCCTGTGTAAGCGGGGCTGGGCTGACCTCACCCAGCGTGATCTGCGCCTGGGCCTCGCTGGGGCTGGTTACCATGACGCCGGCTGCAGGCACGCCCTCTGGTTCTGGAAGACAAAACATGACAAATCCAGAGCATCTGTCATACAAAACCCCAAAGAAGTGATCAGTAAGTCTGGAAATTTTAAAATTAGGAATTCTGACCCAAGAAGAGATGCCTTAGCTGGGTGTGGTGGTGCAGGCCTATAACCCTAGAACTCTGGGAGGCTGAGGCAGGAGAAATGTAGATTTGATCCCAAACTGGGAACTTTAGCAATTTAATAAGTACTTATCTCAAAATAAAGAATAAAAGGACTGGAGATGTAGTTCAGTGCAAAGGCCCTGGGCTCAATCCCCAGCAGTGCTACAGATGGGGGATGTCTTAAAAAGCAACAAGACACAGGCTGGAAATGACACTGCCATGTTCCTGGCTGATAGGGACCGAGCCTGGTGTTCTCTGTGCCAACCACCTGGGTGGGAGCTTGCAGAGGTATGTGGGGTATAGGATGGCACTGCCATCATGGCTCAGGCTGGCCAGGAGCCCCTGGTGGGAGGCGCTTCACAGGGAAGCCCATTTGGAGAGGCTAAGACTGGGGGGCACGCTTGTTTCACAGCCACACAGACCCGAGGCTTCACAGAGCAGTAGGGAAATCATAGTAAGGAGACAGTGCCACAGTGCAGGGCCACTGTGGCTGAGGCTGCCCTCTCTGTCCTCAAGTGATATCCACACCTACACACAGCCATGGCAACCACATGGGCACAGGCCCTGGACAGCCCAGCCCCAGGGGCCCCACACCTCAGCACAGCCTCTACCTCCCCTCAGAATGCTGTCCTTGCTCCCCATGGCTGGCCTGGGGTTTAAAGCTGAGACTCCCTCAGTCTTGTTAGCTTTACATGAATGCAAGTTTCAATCCACTCCACAACCAGTACTTTTTGAGTATGTGAATATTTTCTTATTTGGTATCACCTGAAACTAAAGCCCCGAGAAGATTCTGGGGCTCTGGCACCCTTTCCAGCCCCCTCTGTGGGTGGAGTGACCCTAGGATCTGGGTCCCTGCTCCCAAACTGGGCTCTCACCCTTGGACTTCTCTGACTCCTTCTGGCTCTGGGTGTCCAGCGGGGAGGATGTGCTGGCCTCCAACAGTGTCTCGGACACATCATACACGGCCCCCTCATAGAGACTCCGGTCCTCATAGGTGTACAGGCTGCTCTGAAAGGGGATGCAGGGTGTCAGCACTCTCTTCCTGCCTGTCTGGACATCTGGTCCACCCCAGGTCCCAGGCAGGGACGACCCACCTCCTTCCTCCTTGCCCTGCCTGTGGGTCCTCTGGAGATGCCCCTGGCCACCGTCCCATCACTGTACACTTGGGGGATAGTGTCCTGCTGTCTCTGAGGCCAATGACCACAGATGACCTTGGGGCCGGCTCTTGGAGCTCTAGCTCATGCGAGCCCCCTCCTTTCCTCTTTCTCATGGTTGCACTTGGGGCAGAAGCCCCACACTTGTTCCTGGGCTGGCAGGAACCATGGCTGCTGGCCAGGAGTGGGCAGGACACTCACTGGCTTCAGGGCAGACTGGGACTCGTCCAGCTTGCAGGCCTTAGAGGCCGGGAGAAACCGGAACCTGGTGCCCAGCCCCCCGGCATTGGTCAGCGTGATGGTTCGTGATGTGGTCTTTCCCACCATGTAGCTGCCAAAGCTGATGAGCTCCTTGTCCAGGGACAACTGCCAAAGGACACCGGAGTGAGCTGGGCACTGCTGTGGGCCAGCTCAGTGCCCAACATGAGGAGGGCAGGTGGCCACTGTTGCCATGGCCCGGGGGAATCCAACACAAGGCCAGGTCACCTGTCCTGATTGTCACCTGAGCCTGCAGGGGCCACAGACAGCCCCGCCCCTGCCCAGCTGGGACAGACAGGGTTGCCCGCCTGGAATGTGTGCGTTTGCTTGCACACTGCAACCCGAAGGTGTAGGTGGTCCTGACCATGACACCTGGGGCCCCCAGTGTGGTTTTGAGATGATCAAGCCAGCAGCTGCCTCATCCAGGGACAGCTGGACTGGGGTGGTGGTGGCCACTGGGGGGACAGCTGTGCTATGATGAGGCCATTCCCTCAGAGCAGGGCGAGGGGCTTCCAGGCCACAGACCCTGCGAGTGGGAGAGAGGAGCCTGTGCCGGTGCTCTGGGCTCCCTGCTCTTGCTGCTGAGGCAAGCAGCCAAGTTTCCTGGAGACCAGGACCCACTGCAAGCCTGCGGGCTCCCCCAGGCTGTGTGAAGATGATAGAGGCATGCCTTCCCCAGGTCCTCGCAGGCCTCCCCAACCTCTCTGTACCGCAGATCCCCTGCAAGGCACAGAGTGCTGTCGGGTCAGAAACCATCTCCCTGCCGGGGATTTAGCTTAGTGGTTCTGCTGCCTGCCTTACAAGCACAAGGTCCTGAGTTTGATCCCTGGTACCAAAAAAAAAAAAAAAAAAAAAAAAAAAAAAAAGAAACTGTCTCCCTGAGTCTGGGGTGACCCAGTGTTCAGGTCAAGAAGCACAGGGACCACAGGGAACCATGGGCAGTGATCACAAAATTCCAGAGTGTCCCAGAGAGAAGTGGCTGGCCAATTTCATGAGCAAAGTGGGGCCAGGCAGGAGGCCGCTGTTCTGGTCACCACAGGCCCAAGAACAGCTGTCGCTGCATCTCGATGGCAGCCCACTTCCAAAGTAACCGTCATCGAAGGCAGTTGGGGACAGCAGGTGATGAAGAGGCCTGGGTCTCAGGAAACAGTTGGGAATGTTACTTCCATTCCTGCCTTCTCCTTCCTGGTGCCCTGGAGCTGGGCTCCTTGACCCCAGTACTGGGCCTGAATGTGGACTTGTGGTGACTAGCCGAGTCTCTGGGAGCTGTGGCATCCACTTGGCTTTTGGGTTCCATCACCCTCCATGAGAAGCTCATGCCCCAAGGCCCAGAGTCCTGCCTAACAAGGCCCCCAAGCATCCCAGCCTGGGTCCAAATCTTGCTGCCACCGCAAGCTGTGGAGTTAGGAGTTGTTTGTTGTGCAGCCTCTTTGTGGTATGAGGCAGTGACATATGAGTTCTGCACTTATTGGAGAGGGGGAAGCCAGGCCAGGGTGGGGGCTGAGAGTTAGGGTGTTGATAAGTCCACTGGGAAGTGGGTTGGCAAAACTGCCGGTGGAGAGATGGAGGTACCGTGGCAGACCTGACCACCACAGGCTGCAGTAGTGGGCCTGTGGGGATTCCCTGTGCCTCCCTTCTGCTCTTCATTTTGTCTGAGTTGTCTTAACCACAACGAAATCATCAAGCTGCACACCCAGGGCTGCAGCCCACATGTATGGGACCTGTCCAGGTCTCCCAGGGCTGGTCTGCACACCTCCCACTCCCACTCCAGCCCAGCCTGCAGCCTTGCCCCTGGCCCTCCAGGGGCATAGCTGTGCCTGGGGTCAGCAGCCAGGAGCCAGGCAAGACTTCAACTTACAGAACATTTCTTTGTTGAACATTTCAGTGGGACAGAAAATCCGCCTGTCTGAGCCAAAAAGGAGATGCTTCCTTCCAGATCTTGGTTTATCTAGAGACAGAACCACAGCCGCCAGCAACACCTGTAACATGACTGCAGCGTCTGACTGCAGCCTGGGCCGCGGGAGAAGCCACCGGCCCACAGGGACCTCAGGGCAGGAGGAGCCACGCTCACCCTGCTAGACGGGGAGCCTTGCATTTCCAGGGTGCTGTGTTCTGAGACTAAACAGCAAAGCTGCTGTGGCCTGGCTGCAACTTACCATGGGCTTGAAGGTGACGAGAACCTCACAGGACATCCCAGCAGACAAGGGCCCAGGAGGGTCGAAGCTGTGGGTGGCAGGCGAAGCCACTGAGGTGGATGCCAACAGTACCCACCCAGCTGGGCCCCTGAGTTCCTTCTGCCCCACCTGTCTTGGGTGGGCACCATGTACCCAGGAGGCCAGTGCTGGACCTCTCCGGGGGACATGTGCTAGGCCCAGGCCCAGGAGGTTGGGCTTTAATATCAAAGCTGGGGCACCCAGGGAAAGAGCCCCTCACAGGAGTACACTGCAGGGAGCACTGTTGGGCCTGAGCCTTGGCTGAGGAACAGAGAGTCCCCCAAGAATTCCTGAGGTCTGCCTTGCTCTCCCTGGATGTTACCTGGTTTGCTTGCTTTCAAAATGCAGTAGCTAAAAATATGATATAAAAACTTGCCCCTGACTGGCAATGTCCTCGTGAAACAAGGCAGAAGGAAATCCCAAACTTTTCAGCCAGGTGTGTGGCACATGCCTGTAATCCTAGCACTCAGGAGGCTGAGGCAGGAGGATGGCCATGAGTTTGAGGCCAGCCTGGGGCTACACAGCGAGTTCAAAATCAGCCAGTGGCAGGATGGAGCTGCACTGACTAGAGGCTCAGAACCCAAGGTGTGGGAAGTGCAGGGTGTGCAGGGTAAGCCCAGTGCAGAACAGGGCCAGGGCATACCGCAGAGCCAGACACGAAGTTAAAAGTGGTAAGGGCACAAAGGGAGAATTACAGATGTGGAAAAGGGTGAGAAATGCCTGCTCATCTGAAAAAAGAGGTGGAATTTTTGGAATGGAGAAACAGCACAGAAAGAAGATGCAGCGTCAGCAGCTCTGATAGCCAGACACAGCTGGAAAGGGAAGTGGCTGCTGGTGACGCCTTGCATGCATGGGGACAGGGACCAGGAAGGAGCAGGTGCTGGGGTGGGGAGGGGAAGGGCTGACAGGGGGCGGGAGCAGCCGGTTGGGCAGAGGGGCCAGAATGGGGCTGAGTAGGCCCAGGACTGGTCAGAGCTCCAGGTCAGGAGGCCATGGCAGCCGGACTGTGGGACCTGAGGCCCAGGTTGGGGAGAGCATCTGTGCGTCACAAGCCCCAAGTCCATGGGATCTGACTTGAGCGGTGAGCCTGGGAAATCCCGGCCCCACACCTCGATCCCAGCATGCATGTCCATGGGGGACTCTGTGCACAGCAAGGGGACAGCGGGTGTGGGTGGAGGACCCATTGGAGCCCTGGTGGCTGGCTCTGCTGGGGAGAGGCCAAGGCTGCACATCAGGAGGGCAGAGATGGGGCATGTCAGGGTCCCGTCCAGCCTGAGCCCTGTTTTAGAAACTGCAGCACACACTAGCTATGCACCCAGAAGCCACACTGGGGATGCAGAGCTGGACGTAGAAGAGCTGGCACAGCTGTCCTGGGAGTGAAGGCCAGGAGCAAGGGGCACAGGACAGGAGGAGGACACAGCAGAGGTGGAGCCGGAAAAGGAACCAGTGCTAAAGGGAACAGAGGGAAACAGCCAGCGAAGCAGTGCAACAAGCAGGGTCCAAGAGAGAGGGAGCAGAACACCAGCACAGAGCACATAGAGGGGCCGTCTTCCTGGGGACGGCAGCTGCTGTGGGCTGTGAGGTCAGAAGGGACAAGGACAAGGAAGTGCTGGGTGTACAGTCTTCCCACCAACCCCAGAGAAGTTGGGTGGCTTGGACAGGAGGGTAGGGAACAGGAGTAGCCCCCAGCTCCTGGGAACCGACTGCGGGGTTCATGCCCAGATCCCAGGGGCCCCACCCACGCCTCACTCCACACGGATGAAGTCCCGGAGGTGCTGCTCCACGCCAACCAGCTTGCAGTAGTTGATCGTGTAGGTGGCGTTGATGAGCGTTATCTTCTTCTTGTACACTTTGCCAACATCAAAGTCCTACAGGGTCGGAGAAGGCCTCAGGACCCCAAGCCTGAGTCACGGCTGTCCAGAGGTCCAGAAGGATCCCTTGTTTCCGCCTTGCGCTTGGCACTGGCCACCAGCAGGGGGAGCCAGCGGTGACATCAGGCCACCCATCTCACTTTCAGGGACCCAGCCCTTCACCCTCATTGGAAGCCAAACTGGAATCAGGGCTCACTCCCGGCAGCCTCGCACCCAGTGCCTCACCCTGGGAGGCCCAGTCTGCCCAGTGATGCCTCCAGGTTTCCCGAGGTCAGAGGAGAGGCGAGCAGGCCCACCTTGAAGTGGATCCGCTCGGGCTTGCTGTTGAAGGGGCGGCCCTTGAATTCCCGGCCAGACGCCACCTGTTTGTGGACCACCCCACTGCGCAGCCGTGCCAGCATGCGGGCCAGAATGTCCTTGTCCATCTTCGTCTCACCCACGGGCTTCCGGTCCACATCCTCCTTGGGTACCTGGGGTGCATACAGAGAGAGGCCTGTGCTGCCTCAAAGGCCAGCAGCCACTAGCAGAGTGGGGACTCCTGGAGCCACCATGGCCCGCAGGCCAGGCAGCAGGTCTGGGCTCCACTTCAGAAAGAAATGAAAGGAAGCAAACCGAAAGATTTGAAAGGCAGCAAGTCCTAGAACCTACAGCTGAGGGGGATCTTCCAGATCTCTGAGCCAGGGCAAGAGATAGCTTTTGGAAAGTCTGTCAGGAAGCAATTTCTCCAGTGGTGTCACTGAAAATCAAGCTCTGGCCAGAGGGAAGGAGCCATCTCCTGACTACTATTGGTGGCCAGGGCCGTGGTGCCCAGGCTGCCTTCACCACATCCCGTGGTGCTATGTGGAATCAGCCAGGACTGACCAGGTTGGCTTGTGTGGGGCCAGTGCCTGGAGCTCTGGGGTGGGAGGCCACCCAGGGCCTGACTACCTTCTCCCACCCCTCCTGCGGGTCCGGAGCGGGACAGCTGAACTGCCTGTCTCTTCTGCATCCCCAGAACCAGCAGAACCGAGTGGCTTTGCCCTGAAGCAGGGGAACTGATGTTTACAGAAGCCAAGGGGTGGGTGATGCCCACTGGAGGGACACAGCTGCAGCCCCAGCCCAGGACTGGTGCAGGCCGGCCGTGTTTGCTGAAAGGCCATCCTTCTCTAGCAGTGCCTCCCTGGCGGTGCACAGGGTGATGCTGCCCTGGCCTGCCTGGCCACACACACTGCATGGCTGACCACAGAGGCCCTGGTGGCTGAGGATCCTGCCATATACGTCAGCAGGGTGGGAGGCGGCTGGGGCTGTGGGAGGAAGTGGCTGGACTATGGTGGGTGGGAACGAGGACAGCACTCACCTGGTACTGCCTGTGCTCTTCGCTCCACAGTCCGAGAATCTCTGGCTCAGCCAGCGTCTCCTCCTCCAGGCTGGCCAGCCTGGGGACGTTCTGCATGGATTCGCTGGAGGTTGTCAGCATCAGCAGAGACATGGGCTGCACCGCTGCCTCGCTGGCCTGCAGGGAGCAGACAGGAGGCTGTGCACATGGAGGCATGGCACGCATGGGTGCAGGAAGTACAATGGGGGACCTCCAGGAGCTGGGCCTGCAGTGGCCCTGCATGCTCCCAGCTCCTCCGTGCCACAAGGGGATGGGGCCCCACATGTAGAGTCAGAACTTTCTCTACTCAAAATAGAATGTGCACATTTGTACACGCTACTAAATAGTTCCTACCAGCTCAGCAGAGTGCATAAACACCGAGTCGTGGGAGGACATCTGGCTGGCGGGTGTGTTGTCCCCTCCCCAACCACTCGTCACCTCACATTGCCATTGGAGACAACTGGGCCCTGGAAGGCCCACACAAACCTGGGAGAGGGGCCGCAAAGGCCCCCAGGCCAGCTGGGGACCAGGTGAGCCAGGGCCTGTCCTCCTGGGACGTCTTATAAATGGAGGACTCTCCTGAACCCTGGGACTTCCACCCAGGGCAGATGGAGCTGCCGTGGAGGAACTCGGGGGACAGACACTGTGGTGGCAAGATGGGCTGAGGAGAGGGCAGAGGGCCCCCCAGGCAGAGAAGAGCTTTTCAGGGGTGCTGAGGGAAAGGGCCCTGAGGGTGCCACAGCCCTGGCCTTCAGGTGTCTGCCTCCCCACTCCTGCTGGAAATGTCATGGCTCTGCTCACTGGAGAGTGCCTGGTGGCCGTGGGGTACGCTTTCCCTTCACAGAAGGCAGTGATGTAGCTCCAGGTCCGGTCCCTCAGCATCCGAGGGGTGGTGGCCTTGGCTGGGGGCTGCTGCCTCTTCCTGCAGTTTCCCTCCTTGGTGCCCTCCTGCAGGATCCGACTGACTATCTCCTGCTTCCGCAGCTGCTGCTGCTCCTCAAACGCCCTACAGGAATTGCCTTTCAGAAGACAGCAGGATGCCTGCTGCATCTGTGGGGCCACCCAGGTGCCAGACCTGGTCCAGACCAAAGGGGGGGCTGAGCAGCACATTTGGGGCTCCACGACACCTCCCCAGGTGCTGAAGCCACACTGGGCTGACCTCACCAGTGCCCAGCAGGGTGAGGCCCCCAGGAAGAGGCCTTGCTAGGTAGGATCTTGGCTCAGGGGACCCATCCCGAGCAGGGACTGGGAGGTAGCACTGGACTCCATCAGGGAGACCAGAGGGGAAGTGGAGGGCAGTGTGGGGCCAGCAGCCACCTGGAGGAGGGGCCGAGCACAGAGCCGAATTCCAGCCACGCCAAGGCCCCTAGAGGAGGCAAACATGGGCCCTTGCTCCCTGGGGTTTCTACAGCCAGGGCAGAGTGTGAGGGAGTGGCCTGGCAGGAGAAAGGGGCCCAGTCAGGTGGGCTAAGGCGGAGCCACAGCCAAGGTTAGGTGGAAGCAGAGCAGGGCAGCAGGGCTGGGAGCCCCTTCCTGGCCACAGCCCGCACCGCCTCTGCGCCTCCAGCTCCTGGCGACGACGCTGGTGGAAAAGGTGCTTGAAGGCGTCCCTGCCCTGGGCCAGGACCTCCTGCTGCTCCACCTGGACCTGCTGCCCCTCCTGTTCCTTCCTGGCCCGGCCCCAGGCTTGAAACTTCCTCAGTGTCTCCTGCAAACAGGCACTGCTGTGGCCCTGGTGTCTGCGCAGGCCTGTGCAAATGCACACACATTCACATGCTCACACACATGCACACGTGTGCACACCGCACACACCTACCCGGTTAGCGGTGATGCTGTTCTTCAGTGCCAGCACGGCCTCCATGCGCCGCTGCAGGTGCTCACGGGACTCCAGCTCCTGCTTCCGCTCTCGCTCCCGCACTCTGGAGGAAGATGCATCTTTAACAGTATAGCAGGCCAGGCGTGGGCAGCAGAAGAGCAGCCTTGGGTGCTGTGCCCTCCACCAGGAAGCGAGTGAAGGTGACAGCAGGAAAGCGGCAGGGAGGACGGAGGACGCCGCCACCCTCTCCCTCCTGGAGCTCACTGTGCCTCAAGATCTTTTTCCAAAAACGAACAGCAGCTCACAACTAAAACCACAAATTAGCTGGGTTCTGATGGCTTCACAGTAAAATGGGGATTTTCAGGACAAATTCGAGGGACCCACATCTTCAGATCTGGGGGCCAGGACAGGAAGTGAGGTCCAGAGGGGAACTCACCGGCCCAGGGAAGCCTTCAGGAACTTCACTGCCACCCAGTGGTTCTTCTGGGCATCTTCCACCAGTTTCTGGTGCTTGAGCCCCAGCTCTCTCTGCATGTGCAAGGACTTCCTGCGGTGACACAGGATCGGAGACTTGCTCCAGCTTCTCCCCACACCAGGCCAGCATGGAGAAGCAGAAGTGGGGCTGGCCCACAGATGACAAATGAAACATGAGGTGCTCTAGGTCTTGGGGACCTTCAAAAATGGGGGCATTGGATGGGAAGGGGCCAGCAGAGATGGTGCTGCGGGGAGAGGGTAGACAAGGACTGGGAGAAAGGAGGCAAGGAAGGGCAGACTAGGGCCTGGGCCCCAGTGGATGGAGTGCTATAGCTGAATGTGTGGGACAGGCCTGGGCCAGGGCCATGGGCACTGGAAGGGACTCCGATGCCAGGGACCAAGCTTGAACACTCCAGGCTCAGGGAGGGCAGAGGAGCAGCCAGAGCATTTGGGGCCAGGAATGGCCCCTGGGGAGGTGTGGGCTTTGGTGACTGTGACTAGAGGCCTCTCAGGGAGCCTGGACAGGGCTGGGCAGGGCAGGCAGGGAAAGCCCTGGGATCCATGAGCCAGTGGTTGCAGGGACAGCCTGGTGCTACTCACCGGATCTGCAGCCTCCGGTTCCTCTCTGCCCTCCCTGAGGCCTCCTCCTCCCTGCAGAGCTGCTGGGCCACATGTGCCCTGAGGCAGAGGTCCCTGGCCTCCGTCCTCTGGCAGCTGGACTTCCGGATGTCCTCCAGCTGCCCTTTCTTGATCTCAAGGTGCCACATGGCGCTCCTGGAAGACAGGAGGCCGCTGGTTGGAGGCTGGGCTGGCCCTCTGTGGAGCAGCCCTCTGGGGTCTGGTGGCCGGGCACCAGGCTGTGACAAGTGCTCCAGGGGATGTTGGACCCCCCCCCATGATGGGTCACCTCCCTACAGAGAGCCTCTTGCCCAATCTCCCACCCTGGAAAGTCACCTCACACCAGCTGCATCCAGGCTGGAACCCGGCACCACACTGTGGGCCTGTGGGTGCGCATCTGGTCTAGGGTGGGCCAGCTAGCCACGCAGGCCCTGCCTGGAGAAAGCTTCAGGGAAGGGGCCCAGGACTGTCTTCTGCAGGGATGGGGGTCCCCGGAGCCACCAATGCCATCTCCATCAATCCTTAGGTGTGCTTGGCGTGGGCTTGGAGCCTGGCAGCACGTAGCCCTGACCCTGGCTGGACATTTGGGGACCCACTTGACTTCTGATCTTGGGCAAATTGTTGGTGACACACACAGCACCTCTCAGGCTGCTGATACAGGAAGCTCCCAGCCCATCTTCAGCTGAGGTGCACCTATGGAGCAGCGGGAGGTCAAGGAGGATGGTCCATCCTCAGGTGCAGCAGCAGGAGCTTCCTAGCCCTGTCTGCTGGGCCAGAGAACCAGTTCTGATGGCCCCTGACCCGGCTGCCAGTCTCTGGAGCTGTGTGCTGTCTGCCCGCCCCCATGCTTCTAGAAAAGCTGGGGCACCTCTGGACCAGGGGATGTGTTGTAAAGAAGAACAGGGACTGGGAAACAGGAAAAGGACAGAGACTGACACTGTAGTCTCAAGAGTGGAAACCCAGCGGGGAGTGAAAACGCCAGGATGCCATGCACAGCACCTCATGAGCTGCCTTGCTGCTTCGGACATGCAGGGCACAGAGGCCTCTGCCCTAGTCCCCCAGCAGGCGGTCACTGGCCCTGCCCTGAACTCACTCATTCTCCTGCAGCACGGCCATGATTCGTGCCTGCAGGTCCCGCTCATCCTCCAGCTCCAGGCACAGGCGTCGGGATGTGGCCTGTAGTCGGCCCACCGCTGCCCTGGCACAGTGATAGGAGAGGAGACGCTGCGGGGGTGCTGGGGAAGGTAGGATCACTGCGGCGCTCACCATGAGGCACTGGGAGTGACGCAGCCCCTGCTGCCAGTCTCCATCTTCCCCAGGTCCCTGACGCTCCTGTGGCAGGGTGAGTGGGTGTTGGGGTCCCTGTGGAGCCCTGTCCATGAGAAGGGTCTGAGGGTCACTGACCCGAGGACATGCTGTGTGGTGCTGCCCAGCACGTTTATGGCTCCAGGGTGGGTTCCGAGCCACCAGTCAGGTCTAGGGTACTCTGTGCACCCCAGACTCAGGCAGGTCTGCCTGAAGAGGAGCTGGGTGCATCACAGGGCAGCGTCCTGACCTTGGGCCCAAGCTGACGTCCCCAGCCAGCCTGGCCCAGGGCGGCTATCTGCTCCTGCCCCATCTGGACACCAAGCTCCCCATCCCAGCCACAGATGCCTACATGTTGCTGGTTGTTCTCTCCCGGGTGACCTCTTCAGCCACAGTCGCCTGCTGCTTGCTCAGGAGGTCCATCCTCTGGCGACAGGCGCACAGCTCCTCTCTGAGGCGTTGCAGACAGTCAGGCTGTGGCCCCTGAAGCTCCACCTGGGAGCTCCACCCCGCTCTCCCTGGGCCAGGCTGGGGCTGGGGGCACCGCATCCATCAGCGGTCTCTGACTAATGAGCAATGTAGGCAGGGCCTCCCCCATCCAACTCTGGAGAACCCCACCATGGCCACACAGCACAGCACCCAAGGACCATGCGGGGCCAGGAGGTTCCCTGGGTCTGTGCAGCCAGAGCCACTGGGTGCTACGGGCAGGACCCTGCTTCTGTGCTGGGGCCCCCTTGGTTCAGAGCAACAGACTGAAACCCAGAGGGCTCTGTCCTCGGAGCCTGAGGGCCGCTTCTGGACACAGGGCTGCTGGAGCAGGCTCACCGGGTCTTCTGGAGGAACAGCTCCTTCTCCTCGAATGCTTGGTCCAGGAGCTCCAGGCTCCTGTGCAGCTGAGATGCCTGCAGCCTGTCTGTGGCCAAGGTCTCCGGCTTCATTTTCTTAGCATCAGTGCCTCCTTCCTTCCTGGGACTGGGAGTGAAACACCAGTGGCTGCCACCTACTCGGTCCACAGCTCGGATGACCCGGTTCACCTTCACCTGCAGCTACACACCCTACTGCAGAGGCTGCACCCAGGTGGGGGAGTTGCTCCTTTCCCCCAAGAGTTACCAGGGTTGCTCAGGGGCAATCGCATTCTCCGTGACCAGAGGGCCACAATTCATCTCAAACTCTGGATCCTCTAACTTGTCTGTTTCTAGAAATCAAGGCAAGAAGAGTTAAAAAAAAAAAATCTAAACAAAACAAAACAAAACAAAACAAAAACAAACAGCCAGGTGTGGCAGGATGTGCTTGTAATCCTAGCATTCAGGAGGCTGAGGCAGGAATATCACTGGAAGCTGGAGGCCAGCCTGGGCTATACAGAGTTCAAAGCCAGTCTGGACTATGTGGTGAGATCCTGTCTCAAAAACAAACAAGTGACAACAATGAGTTTTAAAAAACCCCTCAAATAAACAGCAGATCAAGAGTTCAAGTCTCAAAGTGGATGGGCTAAGAGGTTTTCAAAGTGGGGTCAAGGAAGGAGGGCCCCCAAGACTTCCTTAGGGGTCTCCAGACTAAACCTGTGCTCAAGGTTGTACTGTCACATGCCAGCCTTTTCCTGTTATTTCCTGTGTGTGTACTAGGGTTGCTGGAGGCCTCTTGGACATAGGAGTCTATGGACCAGATGCCAGTCTAACAGCAGCTCATTATTGCTATTGTGCATTAATAAATACTAAAATCTTTTCAGCTTCACTTTTTCACACAGTAAACATGGAAAGACAGAACCAACATACTTAAAACCTCCTATGTCTCCAAAAAAAATGTTTTTTTTTTTGGTGCCTGGGATCAAACTTGGGTCCTTGTGCTTGTAAGGCAGGCGGCAGAACCACTGAGCTAAATCCCCAGCCCCTCCAACAATTTTTAAATCATGCATGTTGGTCTACATTTGTAATCCCAGAACTCTGGGAGGCTGACGCAGGAGGATCACAAATTCAAGCCCAGCCTGGGCAATTTAGCAACTTATCAGTGAAGCCCTGTCTCAAAATAAACAATTAGAAAGGGCCAGCAAAGGCCCTTGGTTCAATCCCCAATACTGGAAAAAAATAAAGTAGAGGGGTTCTTGAGAATTCTTGTCTTAGGAAATCACCACAGACTTCCAGCAAAACATGGCAAGTTGAACTTCTGGGTTTATTACCATGTGGCTGTTCAATCTCTGTAAAAATGACCGAAAAGGAATTTGGAATGCACAGAGCCGGCCATCACAGGAGCATGACAGAGGGAGGACAGTGGGTAGCACGGCCCATTGCCACCCATCCCCGGAACTGGAGGCCATGCTGGCCGGAACCCAGGGCCCATGCTGAAATGCTGCCTGGGGATCAGCCTAAGACCCCAAAAAGGGCGTCTCAGAAAGAGTTCACACCATCAGAAATTTTAAGAAGAAAATCTAAACACTTCTAGAAGAAAATAAAAACAGGTCACATTCAAAGGACTGGGTTAAAAACAGCCCCCAACTTATCAATAGTGAGGCTGGAAACTAGAAAATGACAGTGCCTCTTTCAACATTCTCAGCCCTCATTTATCCTTCTTTCAACTAAAGATAGTAATATCAGCTCCTTTTTGTTGAGGAAACATATGAACTTAATAGACCCAGTGTCCCTGCAATGAACAGAATTAAAGCCCGAGGCCCCTTGCTGCCTTGCTGGAGAGAAGTGAGCAGTTTTTACTACCATCCTCCACCATGCCATCCTTGTAGGGGACCAGGCCAGCGTCTTCCTCCATCCTGGGAGACAGAAGTCAGCTGTGAAAGAAATCATTACAAAATATAGATCAACAAGATCACAGATTTAAAAAAAAAAGTTTGAACAGTGGCACCATGCCTGCCTGGCAAGCACAAAGTCCTGAGTTTGAGTTCAACCCCTGGTTCCAGGGGGAAAAAAGGTTCATGCTGTCTCATTAAAAATACATTAAGAGAGGGCTGGGGATTTAGCTCAGTGGTGTCTCCATCTGCCTTGCTAAGCGCAAGGACCCGAGTTCTATCCCCCCACAAAAAAAGAATTTATTTAAAAAAAAAATTAAGAGGCTGGGCGTGGTGGTGCACACCTGTAATCCCAGCACTTGGGAGGCTGAAGCAGGAGGATCACTGTGAGTTTGAGACCAGCCTGGGCTACATAGTGAGTTCCAGGTCAGTCTCAACTACATAGTGAGACCCTGTCTCAAAAAAACAAACAAAACAAAACAAAGCAAAACAAAATAAAACAAAAATACATTAAGAAAATGAATAGAAAACCACACACTAGGATATCTGTAGTTCAGATACACAAACAAAAAAACAAAGCAAAACAAAATAAAACAAAAATACATTAAGAAAATGAATAGAAAACCACACACTAGGATATCTGTAGTTCAGATACCAGACAAAGGCCTTGTATCCAGAATATATAAAGAGCTCCTAAATATCAACAGTATAAAATCCAACTCTAATTTTAAAGTCAAAAGATTTAGAACAGCTATGAAGAGCTCCTAAATATCAACAGTATAAAGTCCAACTCTAATTTTAAAGTCAAAAGATTTAGAACAGCTATGACAAAAGAATATGCAGAAATGGTCAATAAGAACATGACACTTTCTGAGACATTTACAGTCACTGGGAAAATGCAAACTGAGATCACAGTGAGACATCACTGTACAGGAGCTAGAAAGCCTGAAATACAGAATTCTGGCCCCATGAGGTCTGGGGAGGAGGCAGGACTTGCCTCTGCCAGGAGCTTCTAAATGCTTCCCAAAGCCTGAGCCCCAATCCTGCGTGCTGCTAAGAAACAGTGGCGCGTCCACAGCAGAACAGTTAGAGCAACTTGTTCTTCATTTTCTCTTCTTCAATTCTTTTTTTTGGTACTGGGGATCGAACATGGGTCCTTGTGCTTGCGAAGCAGGTGGTGGAACCACTGAGCTAAATCCCTGGTCCTAGAGTGAGGAGCCCATTCTTAATAGCGCCAACCTGGAAACACTGCAAATGTCCATCAGTATAAGAATGAGAAACAAATTGTGGGACGTTCACACAGGGAAAATGCTCAGCTATGAAGAGCGAGGCGCCAGCGGACACAAGGCAAATGAGCCCTGACAGCCCCAAGTCAAAGAGGCCAGAGCCCAGAGAGGCCCCAGTGTAGGCGAGATAGGGCGTGCACCAGGAATCAGAGAGGTGGGCAACACAGCCGGGGGGAGGAAGAGCTGTCGGGAACTCAGGGGATGGAAGGAAGGGTGCGGTACTTCATTGGGGGTAGCAGTTATACAGGTGAGGGAATCTATCAAAAATGCTGGCAGCCCAGCATTTAGGATTGACACATCCCCTTGCATATGAATTCTATCATGACAGAACACACATGGACAGGGCCTCACTATGTAGCCCAGGCTAACCTCAAACTCTCAGTGATCCTCCTGCCTCAGCCTCCTGAATGCGTCACCATGCCTGGCATTCAGAAAAAAATTTTAAAGAACTTCAGAGTATTCATCATACTTTGGCTATCATTTGGGGAATGCTAAGAGCTTGCTCATATGGACTTGCAGTACAGAGTTTCATATGCCCACAGGTTAGCATTAAAGACTTTCACTAAAGAAAGAATGTTGGGGAGGGACAGGGAAAGGAATAAATATGAGAAAAGGAAAAAACAGAAACAAAGTGTAAATAGAAAGGGTGGAGGGGGTGAAGGGAGGGCAGTGGGACAGGGAAAAATAAGAACCAAGATAGATTATGTAAAGGTACAGATTTCCAATGATGAATATCAGCATATAGTAAACCTAAAATGTACCAATAAACTCAATGAATAAAAAGAAAGAAAGAATGTTAAACAAGTAACGGTACATTCATTAGCACCTCAGTCTGTCTTGTGAAAGCTAAACTTAAGGAATGGCTTTCACTTACTTTCCAATGTGATTGGTTTCAATGCCTATCGATCCAGATAGCCAACATGGTGACTGGTGATGAAAGAGTGTCTCCCACACACTTAAGTCACCGTTTCAGCTACACAAGCAGTCGTCCACCCCTGGGAATGGACCATATGTATCACAGGTAGATGCTGGCAACAGCCAGACCACTGGGCTGGGCTCTCACAGCTCCCAGTGGACACAGCTTCCCGCGGATGCCCCAGGGACAGGCTGCTTGTGGGCTGCCTGCCTGCTGAGTGCCAGAGCAGGGCTCCTGTGGCCACTCCCAGGTGTCCAGATCCTCCTCACTGATGAGAGAGAAAGAGTCTTTTCCCAGCACAGGTCTGTCTACCAGGACAAAGCCAATGGGAGATGCAGGGGACAGCGTGGTGTCCCTCGGGAGGGCCCCAGGCACAGAGCAGGATGGCAGGGTCTCTCGTGTGGGGACAGGCTCTCAAAAGCGAGTGCCACTGTCCTGGGGCCACACTTGGCTGGGTGGCTGGCTAGTAACAATGACAAGCGCTAGGCAAAGTTGTATTTCATTTTCTTTAAAAACCAGGAAGAGCTTGCCAAACACTGGGAAGCTGCCAGTTTAAAATCCAAGTGAAGGCAAGAATAGAAATGACTTAAATGGCCAAGCTCAAGGGAAGCATCTTCTCAAACCGGATTTGGAAAAAACAGTAATCAAAGCCAAACACTCTACTACTTAGAGATGCACTGAAACCCAGGCTTGTGCTACACTGTATGTTTAGGCCAGAAAGAGAAGCACTGTGTATAAACTGTAAACAGGGAGACGCATAGGCGCCCAGCAGCCGACACCAGCGAGGCAAAGCTGGGGATGACAGCCCTTGCACCCAGGGCCCTGTGTGGCCAAAACGCAGCGGCGCTCAGCCCACAGGAGCAGTGGACCACCTCAGCCAGCATGGGAGAGAGTGGCCAGAAAGTCCGATTTCCATTCCCATTTTGGTCAAACACAGCAAACACAGCAAACTTGGATCAGAGAAGAGCAGCCAGAAGACAAGTGGGCGGTAACCCACTCAGGCCCACTGCTCACTGCTGGGCAGCGTCCTTGGACACCGGCACCCTGGTCACTCTGCAGTGCTCTTTTGGGGCCAGGTGTTGGCCAGCCCGGGCCACCACAGGAGAGGTGCAGAGATGACCGGCTCGCCACAGCAGAATTTTATTCTCTAGCTCTGCCACACAGCAGTGAGTAGTTAGTAATAGGGTGTTGTACATTTCTGAACTGCCAAGGGAGGAAATTTCAAATGTTCTCCCTGTAAAAGTGTGAAGTATTTGAGGTGACAGATATGTTAATTTAGTTATTCCACATTGGGTTCATAAAAATAACATCACTTTTTAGGGCAGGGTGGCACACGCCTGTAATCCCAGGCCTCGGGAGGTTGAGGCTGGAGGATCACCAGGAGTTTGAAGCCAGCCTGTATACAGTGAAACCTTGTCTCAGAAAAAAACCAAAACCAAAAACACCTACACCTGAGAACAAGGACCTGCATGCACAATTCAGTGGGGAAACGCTCGCCTAGCATACACAAGGGCCTGGGTTTGATACCCAACACTGCAAAAAGAAGAAAAAGAAGAACAAAAGGACAGAACGCTGACACTCACTAAAGCTACTTCTCAGTGTTCACCAGCTTTGCCCACCCAGAGCTATCATTGCAGCAGGAATGACAGGCTAAGGATCAGAAGGAGGAAAGGTCATTATTTTCAGATAAAACGATTATATATGTAGAAAATCCAAAGGAATACACAGTCAGATTATTAAAATTATTAACTTGGCAGTGTTGCTAGATACAACTTCAGTAATAAAATTCAAATGTCTTCCTATTTACCAGAACAAATAACAGAAAATGGGATTGGAAAAGCTATCACTAGCAAGTCACATCAAAGCCACAAGGACGGGTATGACAAAGACAGGCAAATCCTGTGAGGACAAAACGGAGATGGCCGCAGGCAGCACTGAAGTAGACTTACATAAAAATAAATGGACATAGGACTGGGGATTCAGCTCAGTGGTGCCGCCACCTGCCTCACAAGCGCAAGGTTCCGAGTTCGATCCCCAGTTAAATAAAAAACAAAAAAATAAATGGACAAATGACCCAGTTTCCTCAACACACACACAAGGGTGGAATGGGAGGGAAGAGCCATTTGGGTGCAGGGGCCACTGCCATGTGGACCGTAGCCAGGATCCTGGCTCATGTGAACAGCTCTGTGCCCCAAGTCAGTGCTGAGCCCCAGGGCAGAGGGTGTTGGGTGCAGGAGTTTCCTGACCTCTGATGCAGCTGAGAACGACTTCGAGGCTGTTGCAGAGGAGCCTCTGCCTGTGAGGGGAGCTGCGTGTGTGTGGGGGGGTTCTGCCTCAGGCTTTTCCTGACCTTGTCACCAGAGCTGAACCAGGCAGGGGACTGGATACAGGGATCGGGGACCCCGCAGGACACCGCTGCGGCAGGATGGTGGGGACCCAGGTTCACAGAACCCTCCCTGCTGTCCCCATGTTGAAATTTTTCCACAATAAAAGTTTGATAAAAAAAGAAAGTCTCAATACTGTAAGAAAGGGTGGGTTCGGGTGTTGGAGACTCAATGTCAGGATGTCTTCTTCCCATTTTGCTTTAGAGATTCCTTAAGCCCAAGCAGGAGAGAGACAGAGAGACAGAGAGAGAAAGAGTCAGAGAAAGACACAGAGGCACAGAGACAATGAGATGAGAGAGAGATTTGGGGTCAGGCGCTGGAAGGGGCACCAAGGTCTCGATTTGCTCAGGAAAGCACCGGTCAAGAGCTGCTGAGGAGACCCCAGCAGAGTCCCCAGCGTGGAGTCAAGAACTTCTGTACAGGTGAGTCTGAGGAGGAGGCTCTGCACCACAGAGCAGAAGACGGTCGCAACCCAGGGCCTACATGTTGAGCAGCATCCCCAGCCCTGTCTGTGTATTTTGTTTGAAGATCAAGTTGCTAGGGACTCCAACTTTCAATTCTCCTGCTTCAGCCTCCCAGGGTGTACCACGCCCAGCTTCAGCATTATTTTAAACCAGACACATTCCAGCTGGGATGAAGTCACTTCTGTCCTGACTAAGGATACTGCTCTTTCTGACTCCGAGGCCAACACCAGGAGTCTGCATTCCTGTGCCATCTCTGGCTCCTGCCCGGCTCCCTCTCTTTTTTTGGCCCCACAGTGCCCAGGTCTGTCCTCCCACACCTTACTCCCTTATGGAGACAGGGAGAGGATACATTTCCTTGCCTTCCACATCCTGTGCCACTCGCACTCCTGGGCACCAGGGCCCGGTTACCTGCTCCATGGCCCCTGCTGGCCACATGCCTGGAGCATGGAACCTGTGTCCACCACAGGACCTTGTGATAACCTTGGGCTGCTGATGACCCAGGCAGCCAGCCTCCTGGCTCCATGTTGCTGAGTAGCAGCCTGAGTTCTCTGCCATGGAGCCTCAGGAGCAAAGATGTGACTGCCAGGGCCTGGCCAGACCTCCCCTTGGCGCCCAGCCTCCAGGAGCTCTGACATGTGGCACTGACTTCTGGGGCTGCTGCAATGAAGAACCACCATCAGGGGCTTACACTGCAGAAATGGGTCCCCATAGGCCGGTGGGGCCACGCGCCCCTGAAGGTACCAAGGGAGGCACTGCTTGGGCCCCTTCTGGCTGCGGGGAGCTCTCCACCCAGTCTTCATGTGACTCCTCTCTGTGCACCTCTGCATTCTGGTTTCTCTTTTTCCCAGGTGCCAGTTACCCTGGGTCGGGGGCCCACTTTGTCTCAATACAATCCCACAAGAAACCACAGTTCAACTCTAACACACAATGCAAAGGGACCACAGCTGGAAGCAGCCTCAGTGGCTTCAGCGGCCCAGGGGCATGACTCAGAGGCGTGACACCGTGTGGCCCTGAAGATTCATGAGTATAGCCAGTGAAGAGCAGGAATGGACTTCTAAGAAGGAGGAGGGAGGAGACGTGGTCTTGCTCTCCCTCTTCCCTTCCTTCACCCTTAAGCAGGAGCCTGGGCAGGCAGGTGATGCAGGCTGTGCTGGGCTGTGGTGGTGGAGTCTACAGGGAGGAGGCAGCCCCACGAATGGCGTTAGAGCCTGGGCAGGGTGAGGCAGTCATCCACTGTGGGTCACCCAGCTCACACCTGAGAAGCACAGCATATCTGCACACCTCAGAGTACCTCCCAAGACAATGAGTCTCACCTGCAGGGGAAAGCTACTTCCTAGTGGAATGCTGGCAAATGCCAAAGAGAACAGCTATGGTGCAGACTGAGAATGTCCCCCACAGAGGCAGCCACTTTGAGTGCGACTTGGAAGGATGCATCTCCATCCCCGGTTCTTCAATTCTTCTCTGCTCCCAGCTGCCATGAGGGAAGCAGCTCTCCTCCACCAGGTCCCTCTGCCATGCCCTGCAGCCAGCCCAGTCATGAACTGTAAATGCGAGCCCAAATAAAACTCTATTCCTTTAAATTGTGGGTGTGAGGTATTCTGTCCCAGTGATGAAAACAGTATCTAAAACAAAATTTGATACCAGGAATGGAGTCATTTATAGCTACTTGACCATGTGGTTCAGAAGCCTTTGGAATTGGTGGAGAGAAGTTTGGAAAGGTTTTCAGATGCCAACTAGAGAAACTAAAAGGTGGGTTTGATGGGAGATTCTGGCCAGAGCTCAGAAGGCTAGAATCAGACAGGAACACAACTGCTAAGGACCAGGCCCAGCTGGTTTCAGTTGGGAACAACTGAAGCAAGGACTTCATCATCAGTTGGACTCCAGGCCATGTGCATTAGGCTCTGGCAGAAAATGTATCTACATGCTGGGGATTTAGCTCATTGGTGCTGCCACCTGTCACACAGGCAGAGGCACCACTGAGCTAAATCCATGGCCCAGAAAATTGTTTCTTAGGATTCAATTCACAGTCCTCAGTCATTCAGGCACTCAGAGGCCTCAGCAGCCATGACCCAAGGGGGCCTGGCTTCTACTTGAGCTGGTGGCAGATCTTGGAATCACCCACATGGTGCTGGTTTTACAGGCATGCAGAATGCAAAAGTTGTGAGGTCAGGGAGGCTTCTACCCTAATATCAAAGGAAGACCTGAGAGGCCAGGCAGTGTGGCCCTGAGAGGGCAGTGTGTGAAGCGTGAGGGTGAAGCTGAAGGGGCAGCGGGGACTCCAGGAAGTTGGAGAAGCCAGGAACATGAGATGTTCCCTGAGGAAGACTGCACACAGTCAGCAAAGCCAGCCCAAGAGAGAAGCCCTGAGAGCCTGCAACCTGCAGATGAGGGCATGCTCAAAGGGTATGAAGCACACCACCATCACCATTAGAGGCTCTTAGAGATGGACTAAATGAATTTTGCATAGAGATGCACATGAGTCTTTTGGGGCCAGGAACAGAGTGTATGGCTTAGATTTTGATGTCCCTTGGAGGACTCATGAGCTCATAGGTGGGGCTTTTGGAAGATGACTGAATCATGGGGTGACAGCTGACTCCCTGTTAGGAGGTGGGGTCTTGGCTGCAGGTGCCCCCCTGGGGGCGTGGCCTGGGGCCTCTCCTCTCACTGCTCACTGACTAATACCATTGATCAGCTCTCCTCCCCTGTGCTCCTCTGCCCTGCAGTATTCTGCCTCAGAGCCAGTCATGGACTGTAACTGTGAGCCTAAACAAACCTCTTCCTTTAAGTTGTGGATGTCCGGGGGTTTTGTCCCCACAATTCAGAAAGTAAGACAGGGAAAATCCAACACCTTTCCTGCCAAAGATGCACAGCAAGACTCTGATCACGTGGGAATAGCAGACAAACCCAGTGGAGGGGCTTTCTACAGAAGCAAGTAGTGGGAACCTCCAAGAGTCAGACCAGGAAAGACTCCTGAGGCTGGGAATGTTCTGGACTGGCAGCGACTAGACAAACACGAGGACAATTCAGAGCAGCTGTTGCCATGTGCTTGCCAGGGGCTGGCGCCGGACAGCGCTGGATTTTCAAAAAAAAAAAAAAAAAAAGTGACATTATTCCTTTTATATAAAGTTTGAAAATAGGTGAAACTTTGTTAGGAATGCATATTCAGGTAGTAAAATTAAAGAAAAGCAAAGAAATCAGCACCACAAAAAGAGTCCACTGTCAGCAAGTGGGAGGGCTCTCAGGTGGCAAACGGGGGACTTGGGCAGGGAGGGATCGCCTTTCCAGCAGCTGCTGCAGTTTGCACAGGTAGGTGACCGGTGCACCTGGGGATGCAGGGGATCCCTGTTAGGGAGCTCTGGCTCCGGCTGTCAGGGGGTCTGTAGTTTAATACCCGCAGAGTAAATGATGCAGATAAGAGGAGCATGCCTTCATGGAAAACAAATTAACAGAGGACCACTGCTTCCAGAATCTGGGTTTGCAACTTAGCGCTGGACTGGAAGCCTCTGGGACAGGCACCACCTCTCACGCCCCGAACACGGAGTGTACTCTGCAGCCCTGTGCCAAGGTAGCTCGCCAGCTCTGCAGGACGGTGGGGTGGGGGACGCGGCACGACACCTCAGGTACCTGCATACGGCCCCGCCCCTTCCACTTCTCCCTTTCCCCAAGTCCCCTGCAGGCCCTCCGAAGTCTGCACTCCTAGCCCCCCTATATAATCCCCGGCGAGAGGCTTCACTGCTCGCCTACCGCCTGCACCCACCTCTCAGTGGTCCTCGGGGGCGGTGAAGCACCAGTAGTGGCGGCTGAATGCCCACGCGGTTCCATGGCAACCAACGCTCCAGGGGCGGAGCGGGGGCGGGGTCCGCGCAGGAGCAGTCGTCCCTATTCCCGGGCAGTGCGAGCTCCTCTCTAGGATAGCGGGGACCCCGGGGACGGTGCAGCGACCCCAGACCCCGGACAGGTCGTCCCTGGTCGGCTTATGTGTTACTGACCGCCAGCGTAGAAAAACTAGCGTTTCTGTGGAGTCGAAATCTGGATCCTCCGGGGAAAGCGCAGCAGCCTGGGACACAGCCGGGGCGCCTGTAGCACCGCACACCGGTCCTTCCCGGCGGGGTCCCCTTCTCCTCGCCCTCCTGATCCTGCCCTTGAGGAGCCGACCTGAGTCACAGGGTCATCCCGCAGTGGCTGCTGTAAGAGAAAGGGCTTGCACCTCCCCCACCCAAGTCACAGGTGTTTTCTGATCCTTGTGTGTGTGTGTGTTTTGCTGGGGATGCAACGCAGGAGCTCTACCTCTGAGCTGCACCCCTAGTATTTAAAAAAATTTTTAGTTATTTTGAGACAAGGTCTAGCTAAATTGCCCACATGGGACAGGAACTCGAGTCCCTCCTGCCTCATCCTCACTCAATGCTGGGATTACAGTCATTTGGCACCCCTGGTAGACCATATGCCAAGGGCGACAGTGAAGAAACCTCAAGTCATTTGCAATAACCCTGGCATATGATGTGTGACTCACTTTCCTGTCACTGGGACAAAATACCTGACCCCTATAGCTTAGAGGAGAGGATTACTTTGGCTCACAATTTCTGGGGGTTCACTCCATGGTTGCTAGCTAGAAGCTGCATGGTCACCTGGCTTGGTGGAGGAAGGGTACCTCATGGCAGCCAGGAAGAAGAGAGAAGGGAGGAGCAGGGGCAAGACACACCTTGCAGGTCATGCCACAGCCACCTCCTCCAACTGGCCTGGCCTCCTACTACACATTCTGCTATGAACTCATCCCTGGACCCAATCACCTTCCACACAGGAGGCTATGAGGGACATTTTGGTCTAAACCATAGCTTGGTCATGGTCACCATATTGTTTTTGCTCTTCTGTAGTTTTATAAAGTGAGATAAAGCAAACGAGTAATCCTGTAAATAATATGAGGAGCCAGTACTTTCAGCTTCAGAGAAGACCCACAGATAAAAAATAAGAAGTGAAAATGCTGTGAATTTTGGGTTTGAATGCAAAATTTAGTATGAACTAGTTTCTTTTCAGTGCTGGGAATTATCTAGGGTCTTATTGTGTTAAGCAAACACTCTACCACTGAGCTACATCTCCAATCCTAGTATCTTTCTTTTAAAATGTATTTCTTAGTTCTGTCCCCTGAGAAGGTATACAGTTGTCCAATTGATTATGCAATAGTCATTGTGGCCACTTACATTGAATAAAATGAAATACAGTATCTGCACAAATACTGGTCCACCAATATCCACAACAGTATCACTTTTTGCATGCACTGATAGACAGAAGTGGCCTGTGGCACATTTTGTGCTGTGCGTATTTTATCGCAATAGTTCTAGTTAAGTGAAATCTAAAGTCCCATTCCTCAGTCACCCAGGCCACATTTCAAGTGTGCAGCAGCCTGCGTGGCCAGCAGCTCTCGCCTTCTCTGGGATGGCACCAGCTTGGCCGGAAGCAGTGACCCCACCACATGACTGGCTGGCTCTTCCTGGCTGAAAATGCTGGTGCCGGATGAGTGGAAGAGGATGTGCAGTACACTGCTGGAGCATATGCTAGCGAGAAGCAAGAGACTGCCCACAAGTCAGTCCAGTGTCAGGGGGAAGGGCTCTCACAGGCCAAAATGGGGACAATTTCCATATGAAAACAGCACGGCCATGGATGGACAGGTCAAACAAGTTCATATCCAAGGGTTCCACTTAGAAATTAAAAAGCAATGGCTAGCTCTGCTAGGTACTAAGTACTCTCCTGGACACTGCTCCAACTGCCCCTTGGGGAAGGACCTGCATTTAGCGGGAGGGGCTCAGCCAGCTGCCCACCTCCAGCTGCAGGGACCATGGTGGTGTTTGAGCCATCACCACTGTCCTTTTGGGCAGCTCCTGCCAGGACCCAAGGCAGAGCCCTGGGCAGCCATATCTACAAGGCAGACCCCCTGCTCCCATTAGCCTTCTCTGTATGTCCTGCCTGCTCCGTGTCCCTGTGCAGACATGGAGCGGGTGCTGAGGTCCGAGGGCTCAGCCCAGTTCCTTCCTCCACTGGGAGCTGTCATAGGTGTGAGCCCCAGCAAGGCCTTCGTGTTCCCACTTTTGCTCATGGGCTGTCTGCAGGATGCAAGTTGCCCAGCTGGTACCAGCAATGGCTTGAGAAAGCAGACAGTGAGATGTGGTTTTACCTGGTCACTGGCTGGCTGCCCAGTGGTGGAGAGGCGCCGACCTGGTGGTGCTGACGCTGTGCACGGGGTGAGGCCAATGAGAGGCTTCTCATACAACTGGGAAAACAAAGGTGAGGACAGCGCAGCATGCTTCGGGAACTGTGCGGTACAGGCAATGTCCAGCTGCTGTTCAGCGACAGTGATATCCTACCTAGAAGCTGGCAAACCACAGAAATAAAGTATGGCGCCCTAGTGCCGTGGCCCTGCAGAGGCCCGATCTGTGCAGAGGGAGAAAGCCAGCCCCACTAGAGCGAGGTGCTCAGGGTGGAGCTGGCTGAGGTGCTGGTGACCCTGCCTGAGAGTGAAGTGCAGCCTGGCTCGGGGTGTGGACCTCCAGGCAGGGCCTGTGCCTCACTGCCTAGACTCCTCTGGACCTAGTATGTGTGGACAGGGACGGCGAAGCCCAGCCCTTTCTTTTTTTTTTTTCAAGATTTTTTTTTTTTT